GTGGGTTGGGGGGGTGGCTGTTGCAGGCCACGCGTGACTTGGGTCTTGGCATGCCCATCCCTGGGCAGGGGCTAGACAGGAAGACATGGCATGGCCTCTGGCTCAGGAGGGGAAAAAAATCTGGAATGATCACCAATACTTCTATTATAAGGAGAGAGAGGGTCTTGTGCAAGATAACTAGCAACTGTTTCCAGCTGTCATTGTGCTTAAATAATGGCCCATTTACTAATTCTTCTGACGGGGGTTTGTCCTCAGTATTTAGCCTGATTTCTTTTAGAGCAAAAGCTGTTTTGCTTTGAATGGAATGGAAACTTCTTGGTTAGCAGTTTAAAGAGCTAGATGTGCAATCAAAATCGTTTTGTATTATTTTGCAAGGTTCCAGCATTTAAAGGGGATACCTTGGAAATGTATTTTTTTTCCTTCCAGGTGTTTTAAAAATAACAGTAGCAAATCAAATCAAATCAAATCAAATCAAATCAAATCAAATCAAATCAAATCAAATGCAGCCTTTAAAGGTAACATGTGAGTGTAAGCTTTCTTAAGAACACATCTCTTAAGAACAAAATGGTCTTTAGAAGGGGCTGGGGGTGCAGCTGAACACCAAAACCCAAGAATTCCCAGTGTCCTTTTTAATTCCCTTGCTGAATAATTAGCTTGCTGAAAGAAGGGGCCGGATGACTCAGCGGCAGATGGAGGGGGGTCAGGTGACTTTTCAGTTGGGTGGGATTTTAATAGACTCTTGTGAGACCTGTATTTACATTCCCTTCTCTGGTTCAGAAGCAACTTGAGGTTAGGCCAGGTGTGCGCATCCTTAGGAGGGGAAAATGCCATTCTTTCCTGTAAAACGGGTGCCCTCTGGAAGCCGCGGTGTCAGTGAACTGTATGGAACCAGCAACTGCTGGAGGACCTGCGAAGCAATGCCGTTTAGTTGCTAATTGAAGAAGGCATTTCCTTCCGTGTTCGCACACCCTGCTGTGTTGCTGCAGTAATAATTCCGTAATTTCTTTACTGCAGTTTTCTTCATTTGCTCCAGGTTGGCTATAGGAGTTGAGATCCTCAGGTCCCCACGCCCCTTCTCCCCCAGCCCAACTGTAGCAGAGCAGAGCAGATGATAGAGATGGGTATAGTTGAGTCCTGGATTCCAGTACTGGCTTTGGGGCTGTGTAAACTTGGAGAAGTCACTTTGTGTTTTTAGGCCTCAGTTCCCTTGTACTCGAAGTAACCAAGGAATTTACAGCAGAGTTTCTCCTCCCAGCACTAGTGACATTTGGGGCTGGATCATTCTGTTGTAGGGGGCCGTCCTGGGCACTGTGGGATGTTTGGCAGCATCCCTGGTCTCCACCCACTAGATGCCAGGAGATACTGTCCCTTCTCTCAAAGTTGCAACAATGAAAAATGTCTCCAGGCATTGCCACATGTCCCCTGGGGGGGGGGGAAGGGTGCCTCCATTGGCCAGTTGAGAACCACTGATTTAGATGGTCTCTAAATGTTCTTCTGGCTCCAGTATTCTAGAATTCATTTTCCTATGGTTTGTTTGATGCTCAGCCCTTGGTCAGAGATCTGATTCCCTTCCATAAGGCTGTATATATTGGAAAATACAATGTGAAGACTTTTTTTATGCTGTGGGGTTCCAGAAAGAGCTTCTGCCAAAAAGGGAGGCCTGTTTGTATGCCAGTCGTAGCTGGGACGCCAGCTCCGCAGAAAGGAGAGTGTCAGGGAAAGAGGAAAACGCCAGGCACTAGGTCACTGTGTACTGAACCCTGTTGGGACTCGTGCGCAGCAGACCTGGAGGCTATCGCTGTATGGGGTAACTCGGAATCTGGGGTGGACTAACAGCCGAGTTTCTTCCTTACCTGCAAAAGTGGGACTAACGGTACCGTGCGAAGGTGTTGTGAGCAGGAAATGACGTGTTCTGCTGGCGCCGATGGTGGGACGACAAGATGGCAGTGATGTCTACTGCGGGCAGGGGGAGGCCAACGCAAACTGCCCCCAGAACCCCAATGTGCACATGTTTTCAGGGCAATGGGGGTCATGTGCTTTAAGCTTCAGTGCCGGACTTGTGTCTAAAGTCTGGCTCTGCCACTTGGCAGGTTGGCTTCGGCTGCAGCACTTCCCCTTCTTGGAGTGGTTGCTGAATCCATAAAAGGGGCCAACTGCACTTGCTGGTTCTGCTCTCTTGGCTTTTTGGGCGATCAGATGGATGTAAGAGATTCTACAAGCTGGAAAATTCCCAAGAGACAAGAAACAGGGAGGGCAGTGGCATTGCAATGTGTGGGGGCATACTTAGCGTGTGTATTTGCAGATCGAGGTTTAGAACCAGGACAGTTGTCCTTGTCCCCCAGCCTGGAACTGCAGCGTGCCCCTCTGTCCCTTCCCTTGCCATCAGCTCTCTCTCTCTCTGACTTTCCTGGCCCCATAAAAATTGGTCCCCCAGGGAGGGATTGTCTTCAGTATGAAAGGGCTGCTGTGCAGCCACCTTCGTCCACTCGCGGTGATTTTCTTTATAGGTCACATTCCAGGCCAGCCAGGCAGCTCCTCTGTGTCCTACATCCCTGAGCGGCCCCCTTGCACCCTGTGTGCCTCAAAATGGCTTGGCACCCTCAGTGGGCCATCTGGCCCTGTCACTGTAGCAAGTCAAGATCAGGAAAGAAAATAAAAAGGGGAGGATTCTCCATCAAACGAGACTTAAGATTAGACTGAAGAACTGTCGTAATCAGCTCTGCTGTTACGACAGCTCCAGAGACTGGGTGGCTTAATTATAGGCATTTATTTCTCACAGCTTTGGAGGCTGGAAGTCTGCAATTAGGGTGCCAGCATCGTCCGGCTCTGGTGAGAGCTGCCTTCTAGGTGGCAGATGGCCGCCTTCTCCTTGTGTCCTCACGTGGCAGGAAGAGAGAGAGCTAGCTCTCTGGCCTCTTATCAGTCACATTCTTGAGAGCTCCACCCTTATGACCTGATCACCTCCTGAACACTCCACCTCCTAATACCATCACATTGGGGGTTAGGATTTCAACATATGAATCTGTGGGGACACATTCAGTCCATGTCAATAACCAAATATAACTTGTAGCCCTTGCTTGGCTCCTGGCCTGAGCAAATATCTACAATAGGCATTTGGGGACACCTGGGTTATTTTTGTGTGGCTGCCTATTTGCCGATACGAGAAAACCACTGTAAATTTTCTGAGACATGATAATCTTGTGGTGTGGTAGGCACCCAGCTAAGCCACTCCTGAATTCCAGACCCAGAAACAGAGAGATCAGACATGTTTGCTTCCTGCTGCCATGTTTTGGGGAACTTTGGTACACAGCAATAGATACACGTGTGTATGTAGAAGACTCTTAGTTTGGGGAGATGCATGCTGACGTGTTTAGGAATGAAGTCTCATAATAGCAATTAGTTACTTCTTATATTTTTAGAAACATTTTTGGACATCTCTTTAATATATGGCTGAATAGAAGACACATGGATTCTCATGCCTGCTTCTACATTCAATCTATTACAATGTCACATGTCATGTAGCCTCTGGAAAATTCTACTGTATACTCACAAGAGAAAGGAAAATGGAAAGAGGGAATAATAATTTAGGATTATTATAAAAATATTTTTGACAGCATAGAACCCCCTAAAGGGCCTTGGGGAGCCCCGAGGTGTCACCAGTTACACTTTGAGAACCACAGCTCTAGATCAATAATTTACTTTTAAATGGTTCAGGTCAATGGAGACAGAATGAGATGAGGCCAATATGGCCAAGTAGGAGCACTTGTAGAATCTGATTGGTGGTCTTCATTGGGCTCTCCTGAATAATGTTCTGTGTACTTGAAAATGTTCATAATATGAAGTTAAAAAAAAGAGATAGAAAAGAAATGTAGACTCCTGGACATGTGGGGGATTCTGATTGAGGAGGCCTCGGGGAGAGGCCCAGCGGGAGCATTTTAACCTGAGCTCCAGGTGTCCTGGTTTGGAGATCATTTTACAGTGTGTCCCCCTGTGTGGATGGCATCGTCATTTATGCTAGACCCCTATTGAAGGACATGTGGATTACTCACACTTGGTAATCAATGCTAATGCTATTATATGAATGTAAACATGCTAAAGAGGAACTGATCTTTTGTGATTAATTAAATGCACAGAGTTTAGATGTTGGAAGCTAGCTTCAATGTCAAAGCAACCATTACATTTGACATATGAGGAAGAGATGTGCAGAGAAGTCAGGTGACTTGTCCAAGGTCACATGACCAATAATAACAGAGCTGGGAAAGCACCCAGGTCCCTGGATGCCTTTGTAGAATGTTCTGTTTACCCTCTAGGCTCTGAGGGCAGGGACTGTGTGTGCCCTATTTAACTACTACAAACATAGCATAGAGCACATGGCATAGTAGGTGCTCATTAAATCTTTGTTGAATGAAAAGCTAAGTGAAATATTGATGTCCCGAGAAAAGATCGTCAATACCATGAGAACTGCAAAGGCATTTCCATAGACGTGAGCCTCAATATTCGTTATTTATTCACTCGTGCAACAAATGTTTATTGGGTGCTTGCTATGTCTAGGTCAGGCTTCCTTAACTTTGACAGTATGGACATTTGGGCTGGATGATGCTCTGTGGTGGCGGTGGCGGGGGTGGGGCTGTCCTGTACATGGTTGGGTGTTGGACAAGTATCCTTGGCTTCCAACCACTCGATGCCAGGAGTAACCACTGCCCTGTTCCCAGTTGTGACAACCAAACTCCAGACATTGCCAAATGTCCCCTGGTGGGCAAAATTGCTCCTGGTTGAGACCTACCACTCTAGGCAATGGAATATACTGGAAGCAAATGGGCAAGGTTCATGCTGTCATGGAAGTAACATTGGAGTTGAGGAAAGAGAAAGTTGCTCC